TCGAACAACATAAGTGCTTTTTCTAGAGAATCGTCTAGATATACACTCGTGTCAAGAATTTTCTCATCCACCTCCACAATAGATATCATCGAGAGCTCCTCATAGTGGCGGGGAAGTTGGATTGCTTTTAGACATTAAAGACTGCTTCCTCGTCATCCACCCTCAAAATCATTTTTCCCTCTCTCACTTTAATAATTGCATCACTAGTAGCCAAGAGAGGTCATCCCAATATGATTGGAACCAGTTTATCAGCCTCATAATCTAGGATAATCAAGTGCACAGGGAAGATGAATTTCCCAATTTGCAGCAACACATCTTCAATCACCCCCTCAGGGTGTGCTATGGACCTGTCAGCTAGTTGCAACATCACAGTAGTTGGTCTTGGATCTCCCAAGCCCAATTGCTTGAACAAGGAAAAGGGCATCAGATTTATGCTTGCCCCCCAAATCATAAAGTGCACGACCCACATCAATATTACCAATTCGCACATCGATAGTGAAGCTGCCAGGATCCTTGAGCTTTTGAGGAAGCTTGTTTTGGACCCTTGATGTGCACTCCTCAGTAAGTGCAACTGTCTCGAATTCAATCAATCTCCCCTTGTGAGCCACTATATCTTATATGTACTTAGCATACTTTGGAATTTCACGAAGTACATCCACCAATGGAATATTCAGTTGAACCTGGCTCAACATAGAGAGAAATTTGCTGAACATGCGATCATCATTCTTTTTCTGCAATCTCTGGGGGAAAGGTGGTGGTGGCCTTGCAGTCTCCGCCGGTTCTGAACTTGCTTCATCTTTCTTGGACTCGTGTGTTGCTTTAGGAATCAATTCTCCCTTGGGTATAGGCTTGTCATTTCTCTTCTTTGGCACTTCCTCTAGTTCCCTCCCGTTTCTGAGTGTAACTGCATTAACTTGAGTGTTCTTCTTTGTATCGCTGGGGAGAGCGCCTGCAGGTCTAGTATTTTGATTTGTTGCTAACTGCCCCATTTGCCTCTCAAGATTTCTAAAATCAGTCCTGAGCTGTTGATTGTCAAGCAGCAACGTTTTCAACAAATCATTCGTAGTCTCTTCTACCTGTTGAGGTGGCTTTTGAGGTTGATTGAAATTTTCTTGGGGTCCATAATGATTCTGATTCGGCTGATTTCCACCCCATGAGAAGTTGGGATGAATCTTCCAATTTGGGTTGTAAGTGTTCCCATATTGTGCCTGCTGATTCATTGGACCTCTGCTCTGTTGCCCCACATAGTATATAGATTCGAGATTCGTGGGGCACATGTCACTCATATGACTGTCACCACATAGTTCGCAGCAAAGACATTTGTTGTACATGTTGCATCTGTTGCGTTTGTTGCACTGTCATTCTATTCATCTGATTTGCCAATTTTGCTATATCGGCTCTCATGGCTGAGAAGTCATCAAGCTCAATCAACCCGGCTGCTTTCTATTTAATTGCCCTTCGTGAATCCCCATCCCCTATCTAATTATTATCATTAGCAGTGAAGTTATTTAGCAAGAGTCGGATTTCACTATACGGTCACGCCATGCAACTACCCCCACAAGCTGAATCAAGATTCATCTTTGATGCATCATCTAGCCCATCAACAAAAGTGTGACCCAATACCTCATCAGTCTGACAATGATGTGTGCAGTCTCTGAGTAGCTTCTTGTATCTTTCCCAAGCTTGATGAAGTGTCTCGTCATCCCGTTGTTCGAACCTAAGAATTCTTCTTAGTGGGGAAAAACTTGATTAAGAATTTCCTTGCTAGATCATCCCAAGTGTGAATTGAGTTTCACGGGCTCCTTTTGCAACCATTCCTTAGCTTTCCCCAGCAGTGAAAAGGGAAATAGTGTCAGCCCGACATAGTCCTTGGAAACATTCGGATAATTGTAAGTATCCGTAATTTCTAGGAAATTCTGAATGTGCCTCTGCGGGTCTTCATGAGATAGACCCACATATTGCCCTGTGGACCGAATCAGTTGTACCATGTACTATTTGAGTTCACAATGCCCTGTGATCTCAGTCTTCACAATAACTTGAGTCACATTAGCTAGGTTGGTCCTTGCGGCTTCAATCACCGCACGCTCTTCATTACCTGCCATCTCTATTGGCTGTGGTTGAACTACGATGTCCTACTCTCCTTTTATTCTAGTTCTAGCTTCGACTTCCCACCTCACTCTGTGAAGTTTTAGTTCAATTTCAGGATCAAGAGGAAGGATATTGTGTGCGCTTCTACTCCTTCGCATTCAAGAGAAGAGCCTATGTTAACACAAACAAGGTAAACTGAAAATTAAAACTTGAATAAGTAACTAATAAAAGCTCAATTCAGTGAAGTAGCTAATTTCTAAGTCCTCGGCAACGGCGCCAAAAACTTGTTGCGACCAAAAACACTCACGCAAGTATACACGATCGTCAAGTAATAAAGTAGTGAGTAGAGTATCGTTCCCACGAAGACTTATGACTAACTTTTGACTGATTCAAACTCAATTAACTTATCCATTCAAGAGATTTCTCACAAAATATAGAAGTGACTAATTTACTAACTAAAATTATCAAGCAATGAATTAACTAGAAATCAACCAAAACAAATAGCAATTTCGAATAACAATCAGTAGGAGAGAATATTCCAGGGTCACGGGTTAGCTAACAATCGTGTTGCGTTCTTGGCTTAAAATAACTAATTGATTTATCTGGATTGTTGATTGACATGGTTGATATTACTCATAAGAATCTGTCGAGTCCTTACTCTCTTACTCGCCTATTCAAGTTAACTTAATGCCTATATGTCTATGGAATTAAGATTAACAAGAATGCATTTACAATTCCTGCATTTCAACCAAGCAAGGCAATTAGGTATATGTCTATCCTAATTGCGAATCTGTTCTCCGATGCCCGGGTTCAAGAACTTGCTCTGTTTAATCCTATATGTAATCTAGAGTTCCCACTTTCGAGTTCAACTCTAGATTCATAGATAGTATTTCACTGTTAGCTACTCAGCAAAATAATTAAAAATAGAGTTAAATAAACAACCCAATATGATAAAATCAACTTCGTCAAATTAAACTTTAAACATCAACATTCATGTATCACCCATGACCCTAGAATAATAGGGTTCTTAGCCACTCATGTTCATACAATCATCAACAATGAAGTTTTCAAACATAAAATCAATGAGTACTAGAAAAGAGATGGAAGAATTGCTCAAATCCGTGCTCCCAAGTGTTTTTGCTCCTTGGTTTTCTCTCCAAAATCACGTTCTACCCCCCCCCCCCCCCCCAATAGGTTTAGGTTGGCTTTTATATCAGTTGGGGGCGTCCTGGGGTTAAAATAACCGGGTCCTAGTCGAAACAGGACTACTTCACGTTCCGAGCGTCCAGGGCAGCGTGAGGCGCTGGGCCTGGCGCTCAAAAATTTTGGGTTCTGTAAATTGCATCACAGCCAGCGTCCCCACGCTGGCTGTGGCCCTCAAAATTCACTTTTTGCTTTTTCTTCCAAATTTCGCTCCAATTCGCGCTACTTCGTCATCCGAATAATACCACAAATGAGCACAAAACATCTCAAATCATCGACACATGAGCAAAATGCGAGACGATATATATCAAAGTATACATACTTTAAGCCGATTATCAACATGACACGTCTTAGTAACGAGGTACCAAATACTCATTAGAATCCTAGGAGTAAGTTCTGCCACTTCGGTAACTGGTAACTTGAAATATGCCCCCACAAATTAACTTAAAATTAAAAATTTCAAATCGATTAAAAATATTCAAAGTCTAACAAATTGTTAGACAAGTGTCTCTTTATCTTTTACTATCTCCTCCATCTTTTTTTTTTTTTTAATAACTACCTCTTTTGAATTCATATTACCAGCCAAACTTCCAGAGTTTCTCACTTTCATCATTTCCTTATTTATACTTTCTTCACTAAAAAGGTAAACTTTCTTTTAATTATTCTCTCAGATCTTATTCATCTGGCAAAAGATTTTTTCTTAAAAGCATTATAAGAATATAATCTAGGCCTCCTTTTCACTTTGACACTCCTAACAAAATCTTTGGATTCGCTTACCTTAAATAGCTCTACATAGTACTTTCTCAGAAAGAAAAAAAATTCCCTACACGGTTACATTACTGTGTGTGTGTACATGTATAGTAATATATAATAAGGTTTAATTATTTCGAGGTTTAATTGCCAGGGTGCATTGTATTTACAAATATTAGGTGATACTTTGTCTATCACTTTCCTTCATCGTAATTAATACTACTTAATACTTATGATTTGCAACCAGTTCTTAATCTTATAGGTGATATCTTGTTAAACTAGGGTTTTCCCCTTGATTGTTCATTTGCTTTATGCTAATCTTGTTTCCGTTTGAATAGCTTTCGTCTATTTTGCCTTAGGCTTTGATTGAAGACTGAGGGAGAACAAATCTAGTAAACAGAAAGTTGGTGAGTATTTTTCTTCTTTTCTTTAGATGAATATTTTTGTTACTCTTTTTTCTTGTAATTATTTTTCATTCTTTCTAGGCAAGTTGCAGGTTTTTTCTTTTATATTTTGAATAAATTATGTCCAAAAGACAATATGGAGAAATTTTGATTCTTACTATTCTTTATTTTATTTTTTTCTATGCACATCATTATAGTTTGTTAATGATTTTTCACTTAAGCTTTTCTTCATTAACTCTTGCTTGTTTAGATTAGATAACTAATTATGTCGATTTTTCAAATCATGTATCCAATAATACAGGCATAGCTACTGTAAATTACTTTATTAAGTTTACAAGTTTATAAGGGTAACTTTTTCATCTTTTGGTTAAGTAATTTCTTTCATGCATTTTTAAGTCCCTCCACCCACCCACCCCCCCCCCCAACCCAACCCCCATATGAACTACGTAGTTATTTATTTATTTTTATCTAATAACTAGTCAATATAGCACGCTTGTACAAAACTTAATGTTTCTTGAAGTTTTTTTCTGTGGGGTGTAGTGAAAGCTTTCTTCAATGTATCCTGACATGATTCGTCCGCGGAAATGCAAGGTATATGTTTTATTGTTTCGGAGTGCTGTAATCAATCTTTATACACCTAGTTTGCACTAGGGGTTTTCTTTCATAAATATCAAATTTTAGCTAAATGAATGAAGCTTGTTTAGAACATATAGTAAATAATTTAAACTGGGAATAATCTTTTTTTCCCGGATCAGAAACTCATTGTATAATTATTAAAGAGAAAACAGTTTGTATTGTTGAAAGCAGATGCACATAAAAAATAAAATAAAATAAAATTGTGGCAAAATATTGTTGAAACTGGAAATATTGCAATTAGTACTGTTCAATTTAATTGTACTTTATATATATATATATATATATATATATATATGTTGCTGTATGCTATGCCTGTTTGATGCCATAAATTGTGTTATGGATGATACTATTAATTTGTCCCTTTCCTTTATAGCCAACCATATTCACAATAACAGGGTTTAAAACATATACACTGTTACGTATTACACTGATAGTATAATTTTTGTAACCCATTTTAGTAGATTATCTAAAAAGAGGGAAAAAGGAAGGGGGAAAAAAACATTGACAGCATAATTTAATTAACCTGTTTTATTAGATAATTTACTGTATCTTAATTATCACTTATAGACAATTGCATAATTAGATGTTGTAATAGTATCGCACAAAACTAAATTCATTTTGAATCAGCGTTATTGGCCTACAAACCTTTTCGGTCATATTCATTGTTTACTTTTTTTTAACCACATATATAGATTATACATTAATTATACATATTTATACACATATAATACATAAATTATATATATATATATTATACTTCTACCGGTTATTTTTGATTTAAGTGGTTGGATGGCCGACTATTTGGTTAATTCTTCTTTCTTTTCTCGTCTAGTGACAAACTTTTTTTGAGCTAGTACATTTATTTGAAAGAACATTATTGTCATCTAACAATGTTTCTCTTGTGTGGAATGACAGCCTTGTCCACCAGCACCTCCGCCACCGCCACCAGCACCACCTCCATCACCTAAAAAAGAGGTACCACCGCCACCATCGCCGCCATCACTCAGGGAAAACGCTGCACAACCATGTCAACAGGATTGTTGTTCTCATTATGGACATCTACCATTTTTGCCATTAGCACCACCACCATTGTGGCCACGTCATTTGCCGCCACAGCTATCACCGCCGCCGCGTGTTAGAAGCTATTGGAATGATGACTTGGACCAGTTATCGAGAGTGAGAAGGGTTGAGAGCCTTGAGATGGGCTATAGGTTGAATTTTCGTGACCCTTTCGATGACTTGTATGAAGACCATACTCTACGACGTCACACGGCTTTGCATTCACATTCAACCCCTCCACGTGCTCTACCACCACCACCACTAGCGGGACACCACCACCATGGACCACCGCTAGTGGGACGCCAGCACCATGGACCACTGCCGCTAGTGGAACACCACCACCACAGACCGCCACCGAGGCTAACCGGGCACCACCGTGATCACACCCCACTGCTGCTGGGCCACCACCATGGACCACCAACATCCTATTATTCTCCTCCGGTTGATTATGAATACCAATACGGCTACTACGGCTGTGACAATCCAAATGGTTGCACAACTATGTGACGTCCTGAAGTAACATTAGTTCAATTTTTTTCTTTTTATTCTCTAAGTATGTTTCTAGTATTAACTCTGGTGTCCTAGTAATTTGACTTGATGTATGATTAATTTTAACTTTCGTTGGTGAAACAAAAAATTATTTAGACATTATTTACACTTTTATAATGCGATGGACACTCAAACACAATAATTTAGATGTGTGCGTACCTGCACGTACGGTGCAGCAATAAGAACGATTTATTTCTCTTTATATAGAAGGTTTCTCAATATTCGTGGTTAAGAGTTATTTATATATTTATAATAACTTTTAATAAATCTAATCAACATAACAATGAATCAATTTTTATATATGATTTCAAAAGTTATACTGCATGTTTTATAAAAAGAATTGCCATAACATAACTGAGCAAACCTTCTAATGCTTCTTTCTATTCTGTCATGCAGGTCATACATTCAAACAAGAAAAATAGTTAGCTTCACTTCTAAAAATTTGTTCACAAAACATTCTTTATAAATCTGTTTACCTCGAAAATACGAGTAACAATTAAATTTGATTTGTGGTTTTAAAAATATGTGATTAAATTCAATACCAATTAATATTCAAGAAATATGAAGTAGAAATGAAAGAAATAAGCGAGTCAAACCAATGTTACTCAGCAGTGGTAACCTCGAGCTTAGTGACCTCGAGGTGGACTAAGAGCAATAAAGTAAGAACAATAAATATAAAGGACAATTCTGATGGATAGTAAGAGAGAAAAGTAGGATAATATATTCTTGCCAATGATGAGATGATGTTACAAATGATTGGGGTCCCCTTTATATAATAGGGGAACCCTAAATAAGGTATATTTCTATTTACAGTAAGGAATATTCTTGGTACAGCTGTCTAACCTCCTAGTGCGGAATCGTACAATCCTATTCCGGGATTTGCACCATGATCTTGAGGACGTGGCATGAATATAGCTCATTCTATTTCAAATCCATAACGGCACAATTTCGGGGTCGAGCACACTTGACTTCGGTATTCCTCGCACTCCTATCTTCGGGCATTGCATCCCATCCTTGAGCTCGAGTGCAGTCTGTCGACCTCGAACTCGAGCTTACTTGAACTCGGACCTAAGGCGATCCCTCGAGCCTGGGAAATCGGGCGTGCCTGATTTCAACCGTATACAAAATCAAACTTACAAATTGAAACATTTGCCAAAAATATAATAGCATCTAACTTTTATGTTTTGATTATGAAATATAAATGAAGCATCTAAAGAATCTAGATAAATTGCTTGGGAGGTGACTTGGCGGCCGTCTAATCCTCAACTAAAAATAACAATACAAAATAAAAGGATAGTGTATGGGGTCAAATTCTGCCCACTATGGTAAGCAACGACCCCCGACTAAGCCATAGCCGAAGTAGAGGGGAAGACCTAAGAATGTCAGAGCGAAAGTATGCCCTTGAGTCTCGTCGTCTCCTCGAAAGCACGTGACCTATCCCTGTATTATTTTATTATTTTTTGAGGGGGTTCTCTTGTTATATCAAGGAGAATCCCAATGTTGTAAAAGGGGGATCTTTTCAATAAGAAGTTATCTTTTCTTTCTCTCTCTCTCTCAACAAGCTTTCTCTTACTCTCTTTCGGATATCCAGATTGTTGAAACAATCACAAGCATAATATATATTTCTAGGTCTAATTATATTCGATTACGATTTACCTTTGATTCATTTTGATTGTTTTCGCTTGCAAAGTAATTAGTATCTTTTGAGTCAAACAATTTGGCGCCGTCTGTGGGGATTTCGGCAATCGAAATCATAGTTTGCACCTAGAACATCGAAAATAAACCACCTTCCTTCACACCCTACTGAAATTGAAAAATGGCGGAAAATGACGCAAGATTGAAAGCAATAGCAGGCGTCACAACCAACCTCATGGGCCCCCTCAACGAGGCCGACAGAGAAAACATCTTGAGCACAACACCTGGTAACACTCAAGAGGGAGAAATCTCACCCTCCCCATCTGAAGATCTGACGATCATGCAAGAAAAGGGGGCTTCCACGTCTGCAGTCAAAGAAGCACTACCCCCGGTGGTCAAGAAGCTACTGGAAGAATGGCTGACGAACACCCTAGGAAACTTGCTTGAAAAATCGCCCCAAAGCAACATTAAGAACCCGTTGACGACAGACATCGCTACCACCAGTGAACACGATACTGTACGTACAAACAACAACCACACCAATGGCCAGACCAGCGATGGCACACTTGCAGCCATCCTTAAAAAAATGGAGGAAATGGAGAATGAAAACAAGGCACTTCGGGATCAGATGAAAGAGCATCAGGAAAGAGTAGACAAAATTCCCGGCGCTCCTAAGTTACTACCAAAGCGCGACGTGGGAAGATTCGTCGAACAGCCATACAGCGAAGAAGCTGCACCTCACCCGATCCCAAAAACCTTCAAGATGCCACCCTACTTAAGGATATATGACGGGACGACGGACCCCGAAGACCACCTGATCCACTATGTGACCGCTGTGAAGGGTAACGATCTGTCAAAGGAACAAGTACCATCCGTACTGCTGAAAAAGTTCGGAGAAACGTTGACGGGGGGGGGCGCTAACATGGTACTCACAGCTGCCAGCCAGAACGATATCAACATTCGAAGAAATGGCGGATAAGTTCGCCACCGCCCATGCAGGAGCTAAGAAAGCAGAGGCCAGGGTCAACGATATCTTCGCCGTCCGACAAACCGCAGGTGAGGGACTCAGGGACTTCCTGGCCAGATTCAACAGAGTAAGGATGAGCCTACCAAACGTATCGGAAGGCATGGCGGTCGCAGCTTTCCAAAACGGGCTGAGCAGAGATGGTTCGAGAGCAACCAAAAAGCTACTAAGCCGACTCATGAAGTATCCTCCCACCACATGGGAGGAGATCCACAACGCCTACTGTGCCGAGGTACGAGCAGACGAGGATGACCTCAACGGACCAACCCAGCGGCTCACGACAATACAGTCAGAAGCAAGGAGGGATCGACGCAGCGAGGGCCGGCGGGAACAATCCTCGCGCTTCAACAAAGAAAGGCAACAGCCTTACGTCAGATCCTCGCATCCACCACCGCCTAGACACACAGAAGCACTGCAGCGACATGTCGCCCCACTCCGTAATGAAAGAGGTATGCCCCATTTATTATCCGCCCATAACTTTTGTGTGTCTTCCTCAGAAATAGTGTACGCACTGGAGAAGCTGGGCACCAAGGTACAATGGCCGCAGAAGATGAAATCAGACCCCACCATGAGAAAGTCAAATGTCCTGTGCGAGTTCCACCAAGAACGAGGGCACAAAACCGAAGATTGCATAGGGCTGCGGCAGGAGGTGGTCAGAATGCTAAACCAAGGATACTTAAGGGAGCTACTTAGCGACAAGGGAAAGATCAACTTCGCACGAGGGCGGGATCAACCTCAAGGGCCGCCAAAGCCGCCTTCGCCGACACGCACCATTAACATGATCGTCGGAGGAGGCGACGATTCAGCAATCAACCATGTAAAGTTCACCACTTCGCACAAACTGAAGCGAAAAATCGCCCACGAACGTATGATGACTTCGAAGAAAGTATCACCTTCGATAAGTCAGATGCCGACGGTTTGTCTTTTCCTCATTATGATGCTTTGGTCATAACTTTACGTATTGCTGACACTGATGTTAAGAGAATCATGGTTGATGACGGAAGCGGCGCCTGTATTATCCATCCAAGGGTCCTCGCGCAAATGAGGCTCGAAGATAGGATAATACCGCGTTGCATAACACTGACAGGTTTTAACAATGCAGTGAAACGAACCTCCGGGGAGGTATCATTGCCGATTTTAGTAGGAGGAGTTACGCTGGAAACCACTTTCCACGTTATGAACCAAGAAACAGCCTACAACGCCATCATAGGACGCCCGTGGATACACGCCATGCGAGCAGTCCCCTCAAGCTTTTACCAAGCGATCAAGTTCCCCACCCCTTGGGGAATATTTAGCATTCGGGGCGAACCGCGCACCGCGCAAGAATGCTACCGAATCGCTCAAGACTACTCACACACCAAGCAGTTGAAAGGAGCAAGTGCGGAAGCATAGCAATCAGCCGTGTCGGGGACTAAGGTCGACCCGACAACGGAAGCCATCAAAGATCCGGACATCGTAGAAGCCTGCAAAGCAACGGTCGAGGATCTCAACCCAGTACAACTGGACAGCACCGACCACTCGAGAAAAGCCTACATCGGACACGGCCTCTGCGACCCAAGTAAGTACCATGAATTTTTAACTAACCACGCAGATCTATTTGCTTTTTCTCATTCAGATATGCCGGGGATACCAAGAGACATTGCCACCCACAAACTGAACGTCGACCCACTATATCCACCCGTGCGGCAAGTTAGAAGAAAGTTCAACGCCGCAATCAATGAGGCCATCAGCGAAGAGGTAGATAAACTACTGGCCAACGGGTCCATAAGGGAATCAAAATATCCCCAATGGGTCGCGAATGTCGTCATGATCAAAAAAAAAATGGGAAGTGGAGGATGTGCGTAGATTTCACAGACCTTAACAAGGCCATGAGCTGCTAAGCTTCCTAGATGCCTACTCCGGCTACAACCAGATCATGATGGCCGAGGAGGACCAAGAAAAGACAACTTTCATCACCTGCTAAGGTGATGCCCTTCGGACTCAGATGCCTACTCCGGCTACAACCAGATCATGATGGCCGAGGAGGACCAAGAAAAGACAACTTTCATCACCCACCAGGGAACGTATTGCTACAAGGTGATGCCCTTCTCGACCATCTGAAAGAAGCCTTTGAGATACTAAGACAGTACGGGATGAAATTAAACCCAGAAAAATGCGCCTTCGGCGTAGCATCAGGAAAGTTCTTGGGTTTCCTCGTATCACAACGAGGTATCGAAGTCAATCCTGACCAGATCAAGGCGATAGACGCAATACCCGAGACCTTGCACAGTAAAAAACAGGTACAAAAGCTGACATGAAG